TAAAGCACAAGAACTCCGGGGAAGAAAGTGAAGTTAGTAACATGCATTAATGGGACATGAATGAGTGCAGAAAGAGAGAGAGAGGAAGAGAGGAGCTGAGTGAACGCAGTGTTCTAGAGGGGTAATAGGGTACTATGAGCTCTTCAAGGTAAGAAGGGGCCTGACCATGATGAGCTTTATAGGTGAGGGGAAAGATTTCAAATTATATTGTGAATTTAACAATTTCATAGCATTGGCTCCCACACTGCAAAAAGAGCCATTCTAGAAACAAGCCATATCGTCTTAAATATAATCACATTTTCTTGTACTGAGTAAAACAAAAACAATGTTGCTTAGCTAGAAATAAAATTAGCATGAAAATGTAGTCACTGAAAGACTGTAATGGGCCTTAAAATGCCAAAAATGTAAGCAAGTTGTGCTTATTACAAGCAATGGAAACTCGGTTATTTAAGATTGTTAAAAGAAGTATTTTGGCCACACTTAATTGAGCTAAATTTAAGAATTTGTACCTTAATTAAAGATGAATAATTAGCAAATATAATCTTAAAATAAGACACAATTTCTTCAAACAGCAAAATAAAAATCAGTGACTTTGACACCAAAAATGCTAAAGGCACAATGAAACTCTTCATTTCCATTTTTCTCTTAAACTAAGAAGTTGTGAAAGTGGTCTTCCTCTTAAAATAAGTAAAATAATCTTGTTCCTCTGCTAGGATATTACTGGTTACTGCTTCAATAGAGCTCAATATAAGCTGGAACATTTTATTAGGAAACAGTTAGATATTAAAACCAGATTACTTTCCTAATGCAAATCATGCCTGATGAGATTTATTTTCATGGTAACGTCTTCAAATGTCTTGTTTTGTCCACAACCCAAAGATCTTCAGTTTATAGAGGACTAAAGAAAGCAGATAATATTCACATTTGAGAAGCTGATATCAGTTTACAACTCACTCATGAATCCAATAATGGCTGCAGCTTTAGAATGAGACTTACTCTCTCTTTCTCCTCCTGCTCTCTCTTCTTGGCGTCGGCCTTAGCCTTCTTCTCAGACTCCTTCCTGGCTTTTTCTTCTTCTTTGAATTTCTTTATTCTAGGGTCACAGCTGTAGGCGGTGTCTGCGGGGAAGCAATAGAGCTCATCAGTCTCACTCATGTTTAGCTTTCCTGGCTCATGCCCCATATCACAGACCATATTCCATACACAGATAGAGATTTTTACTAAATATGTAACAGCCTAATGTTGCTTTCTGATATTCGGAGTTGTTCCATCAATGCTGCAGTGTGCCGGCTCTGAGACTGTACCAACTAGTGTTCGTATTCTGTTCATCTCCTCCTTCTTCCTCTGAGCTCTGGAGGCTCGATTCTGCTTTTCAATCCATCTCCTCTCGTCTCGACTGCAAGGGAGAGTTAGAACACGCCGTCAGAGACTGCAGATATAAACACAGGTGTGTTTCAGTACAATAATGGGCTGCTGTCACACACACTAGCTTACCATTCAGCCTTCTCCTTTTCCTCTTCATCCAAGTACGAGAATTCTCTCCATGAATCAAAGTTGTACCTTTAACAGAAATCGGCATACAAGTTAAAACACTCTCTCTCTCTCACTAAATCACTAACATTTCTCTTATCAGATGAACATTTCAAAAACCTCATCCACTTACCAAAAAGAGTAAAAATTATCGACTTCTTCGAAAGAGGACTCCATGGTTCCAAGTTTGGGCACGTGCTTTTTGGAAGACCATCTGGCGTTTCTCTCGAAAACGGGAGCGAACACCTCGTAAAAGTTCTCTTTGCCTTCGCCCTTTGAAGGCACAGCGTTGTCGAAGGTAGGGTCTACACTGTCGAAGGCTCTCCTCTTCACCGGGTCCGACAGGATTTCTATAGCTGAGGGTCAAACAGAGAGACAGTGAGTCCAGGAGCCTCCAGAATGAACCTCAGTGCTGGTAACACTCAGAAGCTGTGTTACAGACCTTTAGTTATACAGGTGAAGTAGTCGTTGTCTCCCTCTACAATCTGCTCTCCTGCAGCTTTCCTCTTGTCAGGATGGTGCTTCAACACGATCGCTTTGTCTGTTGAGAAGGAGCAGAGAATAAGTTATTCCACTAAAGTAGAGAAATGACCCATAGGAACAGGAAGAAGACGAAGAAGAAGAATACTCACGGGCAGCTTTGATCTGCTTCTGTGTGGCTCTGTACCGCAAGTTTATGAGCCCGAGGACAGCATAGTGATCTTGATTCTGACAGACAAGGAAAGAGTTCAAACGGCGAGAATGTTGCACTCATTGATAATATTTTGAGTGGGCTATAAATGGACTCTACATGAGGGGTTGCTGTGAACATGATAAACATTCTGATCAAATATCACAACTAAATAATAAGTTAAAAACCAGAATGAAAGGAGTAAAATATGCATGTATCACACATTAACAGCCTCTCAGTGGAGGGCTGCAACTAGCAACCCCCATTACGACTATAAAGACCCTTGATCGCAAGAGAAAGACACCATTTCATTCTGTTGTAAATGGTTCCATTTTATAACAAACTTGCTATGACTTTATTTATGACGTTAATACTACATGAGTAAGTCTCCCTGTTCTCTCATCACTTGGCTGCATAATATCTCAGCTATACTTTGTTACAAACTGAGCCAGATTCATTAAGCTGATTTATGTTTTGATACTGTGGAAATAATTCGTAAATGAATCCATTAAGAGGAAACAACCTTCTCTTCCTGTGACATAATTCTCTGATTTAGGCCGATACCTTCCAGTCTTTGGGGTCAAGCGTTCGGAGCATCGGGTACTCCTCCAGCTGGAACTCCTCATCCTCCAACTCCTCCTCCGACTCCTCTTCCTCCTCCAGCTCCTGGAAGGAGGTAGATGTGCTCCTGTTCCTCCTCTTCACGTAGGCCTCGAACCATCGACCCACAGGCTCCACCTGCACCTGCACAGAGGCTGCAGAAAAGAGGCGGAGAGAGGTCAGAAATCCTATTCCGCACTTTTTTTATATATTTTTTTTATAAAAACACACAAAGATCCTTAAGTTTGTAAAGATTTGTTTGAGATATGTACCGAGTGGGACATTTTACAGTCGAAAAAGAAAACCCCTCCGCAGGGGTGTAATAATACCCACAATTAACGATACTGAACTCACAAGAGGATTTTCTTATGATTTTTAACTTAATGAGATTGAAGACATATTATTCATTAAAATTATTTCAGGAAACCTCTGATTTTAAACAGGATTATGTTGAAAAAGCAAAGTCAAAACTGGATCTCAGCTGTTTGAAAAGAGCATCACGGTTCATTTTTCATCGGACCAATTTTAATCTTCACATATTTGTATCGCAATATATATTGTCACATCCCTACTCATCGGAACTCTCTGGTGAACAGACTAATGGCAAAACTGTCCCTAGATAACCTCAGAGGCATTTTTTTATTTTTATTTTATTGGCTGATAATATACATCCCCGATAAGCTATCAACCATGCCGGTGCATCAGTCGGGCTCTACTCTACAAAAAGCAAAGCAGCCTGTCCAGATACCTGTGTGCTTCCAAATACAGTCCTTACAAGACAAACGTTCAAAGGTAAGCCTGTGAATTGTCATGCTTTTTCTACATTTTATGAGACATACGTAGGCTACGTTCACACTTACATTATTTTTAGAATGTGGCCCATATCAGATTCCAGTATGAACAGGTTACAAATGTCTATCTAGAGCGATATGAAGTTATGAGGTCACACTGCAAAAAAAAAAAATCAGACCCGAATCAGATTTGGACCACATATGAAAGCGGCCCAAATTGTAATCCAAAAGATCAGATTCTATATGATTTGAGCTGATCACACTGTCAGGAAACAATCTGATCTGAGTCAGACTTGGGTCACTTTGGCCTGCAGTCTAACACGGCTGTGACTTTTGCTCTTAAATGGTATATGGCTATATTAAAAATGTACTTACTTTAAAACTTTAAGACTTTGACCACCACAAATAAATGCCACTGAGCTACAGTGATATGTTTTTGGGGTGGCAACAGCCAATACTGCCAATACCCCGCAAATTGCACTAAGACTACCTGGATCAAAGGCCACCCATTCAGGTAACAGTGGGTCTAAGTTTTACTCTGGTTTGTACCTTTAAGCCTTTCCTTTAAAAGAAGGAACTACAGCTATTTTTGGGCTCACTGAAAATGGTGACAGGTCAGACTATCTGAAGGTACAACAGGTGTCCAGACATTATGTAACAGCCCGGTAATGAATGTCGGACACGTAGAGACAGAAAAGTCTGTGAAATGTTAAACAAGTGAAAGTGTGTTAAACATCAAGAGCTGCCAACTAGCGAGAGTGGAGCTAATGTCAGGAGCTCTAATAAATCACTGCAGCAAGTGCAGCCATGAGTGGGCAGCAGCTCGCTTACATTACACAACACAGGAAATACACTGTTGGAGTACACCGAGAAACAACACACATACATATATATATATTAAGAATAAACAGACTCTTTCGAGCACTACATGAGCTCATATTAGCCTAGTCCTTGCTGTCTGCTTTTTTTTTTTAGCTGCATGCTAACGAGTGGTCTTCATGTTCAGCATTGGTAGCTTAGCTAGCTGCTCCCCCTGGCCCGCTCTTTCAGTGCTTACCGGCAGCGGCGGCAAAGACAACCGTTTCATCTCCGCCCAGCGCTTCTAACAACATCGTAGAAGAAATGGCCAAACGAACATTCAGGTGCCGAAATGATCAAGTGAAAGCTTTCTAAAGTGCAGAAGTCTGTGGCCCGCTCATTAACACACCACATGGGCCTCCTTTTCCAAGTGCCAATCCAAAAACGAGCTCCGCTGTGACGCCGTTAACCACTCCGTGTTACCCTTCCGCACTATGGTTCCGCACTTTCCGCAACAAGCGTTTAATTGAGCAGCGACTTTTCGTTGATTATGAACATTTACGCAACATTTAACTAATATTTAAAGTGGATAATTATAATTATTAGAGCATTATTTATGTATTAAAGATATTTTGTATTGGTGGTACGTCCTCAATAAAATTCCGAGCTGTATTTCCGGTGCCTGGCGCACAGCGGCGGAAACGCAAAGCTGCTGTGTAATGGTACAGTTTGGTCGCCGAAGCAGCTCAGTCTTTTTGTGAGAAACAGTTTATTACCAGATTTAAAATGCCGGATTATTTGGGAGACGACCAGAGGAAGACTAAAGAAGAGGAAAAGGATGACGCACCCATCAGATGTAAACACTATATCTTAGTAAAAACTAAATTAAATTGTTAGGAACAGTCAATGGTCTTGCTAAAGGGGACGTCGACATTAGCCACCAAGCTAACGTTAGCGTTGCTCGTTCAACAAACTATTATTTACCATAGGTTGTGCTAACTGTTACGGTTTGGTAAATGTACCATTTAAGATGTTTGCAGTGACGGCGGTTGCTATGAAATGAGTAATCATGATGAAATGAGCTACACGTTACATCGCTCAGCTCGACAACAATGCCAGCGGCCCACTGTCAGACTGCACACTCATTCATGTTGTTTTCATCTTCACAGCTTTGGATGAAGGGGACATCGCCCTGCTGAAAACATACGTAAGTGTGGCCAAAGCTCGCGCCAGTAGAGATGTACCTGTGAAAGTGTTCACATTTGCATTGTGATTCATTTAAAGTTGTTCTAATGTGGTGCTTGCTGTTTATCGGCAGGGTCAAAGCACGTACTCCAGACAGATCAAACAAGTGGAAGATGACATCCAGCAGCTGCTCAAAAAGATCAATGAGCTGACAGGTGAGTGATGGAACCATTAATATAAGGCCGTTTGTTGCCTCAGTTGTCTCCTGTAACTCACTGGCTGTAGATGTTCTGACCGGATGCTGCTTGTGTGTTTTGGCTCTGACAGGCATTAAGGAGTCAGACACAGGCCTGGCTCCACCAGCACTCTGGGACCTGGCTGCCGACAAACAGACTCTGCAGAGTGAACAGCCGCTGCAGGTGGCAAGGTAAAGCCAACTGGATGATGGTTTTTGCTTTTTGTGCAATATTCTATGTGATATAGTCTTCCCTGAGGGAAAAAAACACTGCCCTTGCTTTAGCAAGTACTTAATCTTTCTAAAAATAAACTATTTTTTAGATTCCCATTCCTTTTTCAAGCTGCAGCATAAGATGGTGTCAGATCTTTCCTTCTGCGTTTAAAAACTGAAAACTGTGTCTTTATTATCCATCCTCTGTCAAAATAGTAGTATAAATGATCCGCCTCACACATCTCAAATATTCTGAAATGGTGGCTCATATGCAGTGTTTTACCATGTTCCTTTCCAGTACAAAATACATCTTTCTTTTCATGTTTGAATTTGTGCTGTATATCCATTCTGTAGTCCCATATATTTCTCTTTCTGCGTATGATTCCAACAGATGCACAAAGATCATCAACGCAGACTCCGAGGACCCTAAATACATTATCAACGTCAAACAGTTTGCCAAGTTTGTGGTGGACCTGAGCGACCAGGTGGCTCCGACTGACATTGAGGAGGGCATGAGAGTCGGGTGAGGCAGAAGTATTGTTTGAACGTCTCAAATTATTCTTTAAAAGTCCCGTTTATGTCTACCACTTAGTGAAACTCTGCTAAATTTAGCTTCTCCTCTGTTCTTGCAGTGTGGACAGGAACAAGTATCAGATCCACATTCCTCTGCCTCCTAAGATTGACCCGACAGTCACCATGATGCAGGTATGAGAACAGTATGTTGTTAAGAAATGTCTGACTCTTTTTTTACATTATTCCAATTCACTTTATGAGAAACAACAGCCGACTTCTACCTTAGATGACAGATTGTAGTTTTGGCTCCTGTAGTTTCCAAAATAAGCAGCAACTCTGTTCCCGTCCTGTAGGTGGAGGAGAAGCCGGACGTGACCTACAGCGATGTTGGTGGATGTAAGGAGCAGATTGAGAAGCTGAGAGAAGTGGTCGAGACCCCCCTGCTCCACGTGAGTGTCGCTTCCTAGTCACAGCATTGACCCAGACTCAGATGAACAGGTACCAAGGATGAATACTCTGCCTCCGTCCTGACTGATCTTCCTGTTTGTGTGCTCTGCTCTCCAGCCTGAGAGGTTTGTCAATCTGGGTATCGAGCCTCCAAAAGGTGTGCTGCTGTTCGGGCCGCCCGGCACAGGAAAGACCCTGTGCGCCCGCGCTGTGGCCAACAGGACAGACGCCTGCTTCATCAGAGTCATCGGCTCTGAACTGGTGCAGAAGTACGTGGGAGAGGTGAGTGTGAGAGCAGTTGAAGCACACACTGGGCAAAGAATAGCAGCTGTATAGAGTCCTGCTGAATACGAACACTCATGTTGCAGGGGGCCAGGATGGTGCGTGAACTGTTCGAGATGGCGAGGACTAAGAAGGCTTGTCTGATCTTCTTTGATGAAATTGATGCTATTGGAGGTAAGGTTTTCTGTAGTATGTTTGTGTTCTGATCCTTCAGGGTAACATCAAGAGATCTGAATCTCATAAGCCATATCTGTAATTTGAGTACAAAATCATCTAAAATTACCCACAAAGTTAAATCATAATTTATATTATTTTAAACTGGTTTGGTGCAACATTCCTTCCGTATGTAATTTTTATTTTGTCCTCATGAAATACTGAATGTTCTATTCTCAGAGGAGTGTAAAGAAGCTAAAATGAATATCCCCATGTATTAAGGATAATACAGTCTTCCACTTTAACATGAACCCTGTTGTCTGTGAACCTGCCAGGTGCTCGTTTCGATGACGGTGCTGGTGGAGACAACGAGGTCCAGAGAACCATGCTCGAGCTCATCAACCAGCTGGACGGCTTCGACCCTCGAGGCAATATCAAAGTGCTCATGGCCACCAACAGACCGGACACCCTGGACCCGGCCCTGATGAGACCCGGACGTCTGGACAGGAAGATCGAGTTCAGCCTGCCCGACCTGGAGGTGACAAGACATACTCTCAGAAAGCGACCATAAGACTATACTACATGATTGGTCATGAAATGGTATCCTTTTTTTGTGTAGCTATTTCTAGCTGTGTTTATTTTTTAAGTCTCACCTATGTGTTGTTTTGTATTTCAGGGTCGCACACACATCTTTAAGATTCACGCCCGCTCTATGAGTGTGGAGAGAGACATTCGTTTCGAGCTGCTGGCTCGCCTCTGCCCCAACAGCACCGGTAAGACTGACACACAGCATTCAGTCCCCATTCTGTCATTTGTCCTTTAAAGCAGTGGTTCCCAACCTTTTTCCTTAATGGACCCCGTTTCTATCCTTCAGTAAACTGTGAAGTCAGTAACTGACGATTTTCATTACATTTTAGCAGATTATTTTCTGTTTAGGAAACCTTTTATACAATTCTGTCAAAAATACACTTGGCCATTGTTTTGTTTTTAAACAGTTTACTTTCCTTCACAAAAGTGAACCAAATGCTAAGATATAGGCCTACT